TTTTAGATATTTTCCAATTCCGTTGACATTTGTCCCTAGTTTTTGTCAACACCGTCAGAAATGAAAAGAATGTAAAAAAATAAAGAAATAAAAATCAGGCATTATTGGGGGGCACCAGAACTTCTGAGGACCCCATGACCACTTCCTTTCTCTTCCTTTGCTAAGAGGGCTAGTTAGCTCTGGTTAGCTTATGTTATTCTTTAGTTTTTTCTTCTGTTTTATTCCTAAGTTGCTTGTCACAACCATGATGTGTCAACTCCATAACTGACAATTTACAAAACTTTGATGAAATTTTGTGAAATAAAAGCTTAATTTTGGTAAACTGTAAAGATTTCATGGACCTGATGTGCTACAACATGGCCTCCTTCAGAATAACATCATATAAATTGAGGTAGTTTGGCATTTCGTCAACTCCGTCAGATGTCAACTCCGTCAGAGTTTTTCTGACTCTTTCAGTGAAATTGTTGTCAAATCTCACTTAAATGTGCAATTAATTTATTTTAATGTATTTTACATAAATTGCATTACTTCACATGTATCAAGTTTTTCATTTTACTCACTGGTTTGTCACCATCTTCAGTTCTGTGTCAACTCCGTCAGATGGACTTTTTGTTGTTTTTTGTTTTAAATAATATTTCTTTTGTTTCTTGAGAACCATTTGTCTGTAAAATGAGTAAAAATATCACTAATAGGGTATTTTAAAAATAATTTTATATTCATTTTTGTCCGATGGTGATAAATTTCTGGGTCAGGTCGATTAAAGATGTAATTTCAAATTAAAGCTGCAAGCAGCCTCGGCCTATAGCCACCGCGGGGGTTCCAGCACCGCCTCCCGCCAGCCACCGCTGACACTCCCGCGCACGTCCACCAGGCGATATGTTTTGATCCGTTCAGGATTGCTCCTTGGTGATGCACCAAAAATCTGGAGCAGATTGGGCCATGTGGCAAGGAGATACAGCTGTTTGATTAACCTAGGGGGCGCAGTGGAGTCAAGTTACAATGTATTGCTATTGGGCTCTTTAGAGGTTCACCAGAGTCAATTATAAAAAGTCTGGTGTAAATCGGATGATGCGTGTGTGAATAAGAGACGATCGTGTGCATTTGGCGAGGGACTGCCATTTGGCCACGCCCCCACAGGTCAGTAGGCATTGACAGAGTTCATCATGTCATTTTATGTCAGTTGGCACAGGATTAAACCCATATGAATTAGAGAGTAAAAGTAAGACATACAATTGAAGAAAGAGGTTACTTCCTGTCGGAAGTGGGCGGGGCTAGGGTGATGTCATCAATCGACCACCTAACTATGATGAAGGCTGGTCTATAATGAGACATAGAAAGTCTGATGCAGCTGTGACCTGGCATTTGGAAGTTATTTCACATTCATGTTTCATGGTGAATAGTCAAAGTTTGGGACTTAGCCACGCCCACATGCTTTGATGTACGAGGATTCTTTTGAAAACTTTTCACCCTCCATGTCTCAAGAGTGTGCTGAGTGAGTTTGAAGTCTGTATCTCAAAAGCTGTATGAGGAGTTCGATCAGATGCGACGTCTATGAAAAACAGGAAATGGCGGATTTTGATCCAAAATGGCCGACTTCCTGTTGGGTTTGCACCATGGCTCCAAGAGACTTTTTTGTAGGTCCTGACATTATACACATGTGTACCAAGTTTCATAATTCTAGGTTAAAGCATGGCTTGGGGCTGATCATTTAAAAATTTCTAGGGGGCGCTGTAGAGAAATTAGGCCACGCCCATCAACGACTGTTATGGATTCCTGTTCGGGGATGGATAAGGATGCATCCTAGTGAGTTTGGTGCAGCTCGCCTCTAAAATATAGAATTTAGAGGCAAACGTATGGCGATGGCGTTACAGGTCAGTTCGCCACGCAGCCATTGCCACGCCCTCCTTTGAAAACTCTTGGCGCTTTAAAGCAAGTGAGGCCAACTTGTTATCTGTCATCCAACACAGAATCATCTTGATTAGGTTGAGAGGGCCAGAGATGGAGCTTTATAAGTAAAAAAAAGGCACTTCCTGTTCTGAGTGGGCGGGGCTTTGATTATGTCAGACTATGTCGATATAGGATCGTAAGGGATCCAACCAGGATCACTCATGTCAAGTTTGGTGCAGCTGGGCTCAAAATTGTGGGATTCAGAGCCAAACATATGGACACGGCGTTACAGGTCATTTCGCCACGCCCACCTGCTACATCAAAATCAAACAGGGTAGGAATCCAAATTACACCAACATGTTTTCTGTCTGTGGACACAGTTTCATGTTGATTAGGTCAAAGGGGTCATAAAGGGACCGTTCAGGGTAAAACATGACACTTCCTGTTCTCAAGGGGCGTGGCCTCAGTGATGTCATCATTGGACCATTGATGAGTTTAAAGCCGATGGATCGAAATCCCGAGGAGGAGTTCGATCAAATGCAACGGCTGTAAACGGACAAAATGGGGTCAAAATCGGAACTTCAATCCAAAATGGCCGACAATCTGTGATACTTGCACTATGACATTAATTGTAAATTCTGAGTGTCTTGGGGAGCTCTACAAGTGTACCAAGTTTCAAGTCTCTACGATAAAGTAAGTGAATAGGAAAGGGTCTTTTGAAAGTTGCTAGGTGGCGCCCTTGAGCCGTTTCTTTTGCGATTTTTCCGGGGACCTTAAAATACGTAAATTTTACACGGGCTCTATGCCCCCGCCAAGTTTGGTGAGTTTTTGAATATGATAAAGCCCCCAAAAAGCCAATTCATTTTTGACAAGAATCATAATAATAAACAGCACGATTACAACAGGCCAAACATCTTGCAACTGGGAGCCTGCACCTTAGCACCTTTACGTTTCCAAAACATCCTTTGTCATATTTGCATCCATAAGGTTGAGAAATAATTTTAAAAAAATTGGGAAAATTAAAACCCATTTTGTCCCTATTCTCAAGAATCAATCTTAAATATGCACGAAAGGAGCACAATGTTTTGCTAACACTAAGCTACAAAACAAACCCCAAAGTTTCACAGGTCAGTAAAAGGTTTTAATTTTAAAAAGGGAGGTGGAAGTAGGTCAGTTATGTTCCCTTGACTTCAACAACCTTCGCATGTTGTGCTGCGCAGTTCGGTGTGTTTCGGTTCCGTTTATAAGGCGACCCTCACACCAGCTCTGTGACAGAGCATCAGTCCAGCAGGTTTTTAAGTTATGAACCCCGCTGGGTTTACTTGTAGTAATCACAAAATAAACACAAGGGCAGAAAATAAAACTGTTACGGACTGAATATTCTGTTCTTTGTGTGGGAAATGTTTGCGTTTTTGGCGCTGAATCCTGATACTTAACGCAGTGCCTGTTCTGTCAGCTATTGGATTTGTTGTTACTCGGTTGTTATGGCAACGGATCTGCGTGTAAAGCATACATTTGGTCCAAACTAATTTTTCCAAGAAAATGAAAGAAGATGAACTAGGTGAGTTCCTGAGGCAGTTTGAATTGTGTAAAAATGTTAATAATTCATCAAAGGGAAACTGCAAACTTCCGCAAAGGTTACCGGAATAAGGGCTTTGCGTGGCGCAGTAGTTGGCGCAGCGCGGTGCCCCGCATATAAACTTTAGACCGCCGTAGTTCGGAATCTGACTCTCGTCCTCTGGTTCGCTTGTCTCTCTCTCTCTCTGCAACTTTTCTGTTGGATTGTTGTCATAAAGGCAAATAGTGGCGAAAAACTTATTTTAAAGAAAAAGACTACCGGAGAAATGTGCAACAATGCGGCATGTCGGGCTTTTCCTCCATCCAACTGATCAGCGCCACTTTGCTGTTGAAGCTTCTAACCTGGGAGCTTTACGCTCTTATAAAAATACTATTTAACATCTGGAAACGAAGTTAAAGCTTCAATCTGAGGATCTCTGCCTGTGACAGCTGACCCTACTGTCACACAGACCTGAATGGTAATCATTTTGTTTGCTTATCCTTTACATTAATTTAGACATTAATTAGTGAATAGTTTAGATTTTTATTAACAATTATTTTCATTAGTCTGACCTTTTAGTTAACTGTTTGCAGTGCACACATTTAGTTAACTTTATTTGTCAGTTCTTTATATTTTTGTTAAAAGCAACAAATTAATTTATTTGTTTTG